ATTGATAGTGCCAATTAAACTGATCTGTGAGGCTTTGTATAGCTTGCTTAGAGGTTTCAGGGTGACACTAAACACAATGACATGATGGTCTGTTATTTTGTTAGCTTTTATTAACATTTTGTTTATGGCAGTATATCCCATAAAAAATGTATTTGTATAGCAAACCCAGTTTAATTCTCGTTTCCAGTTGTCACTGACATTCAGATGAGCACAACCGTAACTCTGCTTCACATAATAAGTGTCTATGATTACCATGCCAAAATCGAGAGTCATGGAGTGAAGCCTTGAGATGGTCTGGACCATATTGTGAAGCACACTTTTATACATTACATATTCCACTGAGTTGTGTATTGAGCCTATATAGAGTGACGACAGGCACAGATTCTGGAAATGTGTTTGCTAGCTTTGGTATGACAACATCACTCAACTACTCCTGGGTCCATGTTCATACTGTTCTTGCCAATTCTAACTTCTCTCAGCATGTGAGGGAGTTTAAGGGATTACTTGTACAAAAAAGCCCTTTTCTGATTAAAGTAGATGAATTCTACAGTACTTGCACGCAGATGATTTTTCTCAATGCAAGACTGTAGGGATACCAGAAGACCAGGCTCTGGGCTGGGAAGCAGTAACATAGATCATGGTGGGAGCACCCACCGGCACAACCTGTCCTGGACATTGGATTATTGTGTATCAATAATGGATCCTTTAATTGGTTTATTTTTATTTTAGTGGCGCCACAAATTTAGAATAATGTCCTTAATGATGCAAGCTAATGTGGCCAAGAAATCAAAGCAATGAGATGACTATGTACTGTAGCCGTGCTGTGGTTAATGATGGATTATTATACTTCATGTACTGGGCACACACACAGTAGCTGATGGAGACTACTATCCATGAATGATTGTGTGTATAGTTCATTTCTCCGACAATCTGAGTAACATGAGATGAGAATGGGAACTGAACTGAGGAATACGTATCTCAGAGATTTTCAAATACACATCCATGGGGGTGCTGTTCAAGTCCTGCGTCTTATAAAAGTCATACAAAAGGTCAGTATGGAGTGGTAATGACTGGACAGTCAGACCTCGGGCTGCAATAAGAGGGCATCAGGGATACTCACGATGAACTCTGCTGCGATGACCCCATCCACAATGGCGCAGAAGAAGGTGGCGATGACCCCAATGCTGACAAACACGATGGATGCGACCAGCTGTTGAGCAGACACAGGGCATGTCACACTGTCTATTAACTGAGACACAGAAGCTCACGGGTTTCACGCGACAGTGTTTGACATCATTTCAGTTAACTGCAATCTCTCCGTCATCAAGGAAACCACGCCTCCCGATCCAGGCCACGTTCAGACGTGATGAGGTAAAAAAGTACGTTGGTTCATCATTAACTGGTACAGTATCAAAAGGCACCTCACTTAAATAATTTCCACAGTGCTCCATCCTGGCAAAGAATGATTTAAAGTAAGATGCAGAAGCATAACTGTAAAAAAAAACAAACAACCGGAGTCCCACTATACAGCTTTTCATCACCTTAAAATTACTAAACATCATGGTGGCCCCTTAATTAACAGCCTCATAAATAATCATAGAAAGGCACGATCTAGGTATACAAAACTGCATACCAGTAAATAAAAACCATCAATCTCATTCATCATCAAGGAAACAAGTAAAATCAATTTCAAAAGAATACTGTTGAGCAATGAAGAACCAACACAACATTCAGCTACAACCAGGCACATTTCACCTGGCTGACTTCCAGACCCTGTTCTTTGTTGAACAGAGCTTGTATCTAAAAAATACAGCACAACTCAGTGGTCTCTCTCCTACACAGTTTTGATAGCCGTTTTTTTAAAGAAACTACAGTAATCGATTTTTCCTTTCAATATGTAACTTTATAATGAGGGAAGAGTGTGACCTGGGTCTGCTTCTCCTGAATGAGCATTTTCCTCTCTCATCCAGCACATTGCTCTACTGGGTTTGTCATTTCCCAGAGAGCAACAGTGCTTGCACATGGTTGGCCGGGGGTTGTTATTAAAAATGACCTCCATCCCCTGCTTGGATTTCATGCTTGAGCAACTTATTGATTTTCTTCTCCCATATCGTAAGTCCAATTCTAAATGCATTATTAAAGTTATGACAAACACTCTTTCCAATTACATTATTTACGTTTAACCTTTAACCTGCAAAAAAAAAATGCAGAATTGTATCTGTAAGAATGTACTGTATGGATGGTATTGAACCTAACAGGGTTCACTGACTAAGGCAGACAAACAGCTGAGGTTCTGAGCAGGGCTTTTGTCTAAACGTTGTTTCCAGCTCAAACACCTCAAGTGGACAATCACTACTTTTTTACTTTGTCTAGAGAATGAACATTATCAACAAAGAAATCCACAGGAAGAGGAGACCTTTTGTGAGAAACCTTTGCATACAGCATTTAGTTTATTGTCAGCTCCTGAGCAGAATACTTTTTTTTATTACTATTTTATTTATTGAGCAGTAGCATGTACATCCAGAAGGTGTTTTCACGATCACGTCCGGGATACTCCAAACAGTTTGACTCTGGCTTCCTAAAAGTTTAACTGGCCCTTTGTTCCAGCACTTCCATACATCCCAGTTTCATGACATCAGAATCCCTACAAATTATTTCACCCCCAGAACTCTCTCCCAGCTGTAAAGCATGGTGGAGGCAATTCTGCAGCAGGGACTGGCGCACTGGTCAGGACTGCAGGGAAACCGGACGGAGCGAAACGGAGACAGTTTCTGCCCTCTGCAAGGAAGATGAAATGGGGAAGGAGGTTCACCTTTTGACATGACAATGACCCTAAGTTCAGAGCCAAACCAACGGGGGAGGTGCTAAAGAACAAAAACTGAAAACGTCCTCAAGAGCCCTGACCTCCTTCCAACTGGAAATCTGTGGAGTGACTTGAAGGCTGCAGTCCATCACCGGCCCTGACAGTGCAGAAGCTTCCTCCTATCTTGGATTCTTGGCCAGTCGGGCCTTATTGAGAATATGGTTTTGGAAATGTTTGTTTTTTGTGCCCTCTAGAATCCTACAGTAATGACTCCTACATTCTCACGCCACCGCACTATGTCTACTGTACACTGTTATGCGAGAAGTTCAATGAAGACGTGATGGAGATTTTTTGACTGTTTTTTGTTCAGTTTGTACCCTTACGGAGCAGTGAGGATCAAAACGCAATGCACAAAAAAGCATGCTGTGGAGAAGAAAGCTCTCTAAGGTTTATGACATCAGCAGAAAACGTAAAGAGTGGATAAGCTGTGTGAAGTATAAGAGTCCTCAGCTTTCACCTTTCAAAGATAAGCATTTAATATTTATTATGTACCATATATTTCATTTACTGTATAAATGTGATTATATATTATACATTATTTCTTTTATTATATTTTCATTTCCAACAGATTTTAGTTTAGGTAGGTCCATTCATTATATATTTGTAACACTACATATATTAAAGTATAACTGGATGACATTATAAAATCTCATGCACATATCCCTATTTATTACAAAAGGTGCTAAGTTTATCCAACACAGATTTGTCACTTTGGAGGACCTTTACCCAAGTATTGGGCAGATGTCCGCTGTACACCTGTGTGTGCTCAATGCATATCCCCGCCTGGCCAAAAAATTTTACAGGAGCCATACAACGCATTATAAGAAACTGAAGGTCGTTTTATGACACCATTGGCGGACATGATATGTGCCAGGAAAATGTTCATTAAACTTTAAAGCCAACTAAAGCAAATAGCTCCGGGATGGGCAAACAACGCATGCCTTAAATCACAGTGTGCAGAGCTCAGGCACCTCTGCTATCAGGCCGAACCACAGACACCCACTGCTTCTGTTGCTATGGGAACTATTCAAGAGTATCAGATTAATAGCCTGTGGAGCTAATAGAGTGAAAGAATTACTTCTTACATTGGTGCTATCTGGGAAAAGGTCATGAAACACTGTCAGATTAAAAACTACTTCATTTATAAATCAGTTAATTAATTTGGTAGATTATTATAAAGTCCTCTCACCCTGGGCTCTCATCATTTCAATTACAATGCCGCATTCTAGACGCCACGTGCGACAGTTCCTTGTTAACAGCAGGTCTGTAAAACTGGTGATTGCTGTGACCTTATAATTTGCGGGAGGCCAGTTTGGTTCTTTTGAAGGTTAATTTTGTTATGTAATAAGATTTTTGAGGTAACTGAGTGCGTGGTCTTGCAATGGGGTTTCATCTTTGCGATAACTTATTGACACAAACTGAACACAGAAAACAGGACAACCACAATGTCTCCAAATGAAAGGCAGTAAAGGACTCAAGGCCATTCTCCACCTCTCTCTTCTTGTCATCTGGATTGTGCCCTCCTTAGCAAGCATGTAAATCAATAGAACCACAGCACTTTGAAGCTATGCAGGGAAACAATGTTGATGTCCTTTGGATAACAGTTTGATCCATTTCAGAGCTTATGAGACTCTTGTAAAAACGTCACTTGAACAAAAAAGCAATGTTTAGTTATTATTTTAACTTCACTCACATGTCAGGACATTTTTCTCAAAATAAAGAAGGTTGTTTAGCAGCGGTGACTGTTGATGTGTGTCACTTACCTGCCATAACAATAGAAGGAGCACAGATCTCACAGATCTTGTCAAAAAGAAATTGAGAACATATTTGTTAAGACTACAATCAAAAACGTGCCACCTCCTAATGTACAATTTAACTGTCCTACATTAAGCTATAAAATGGCCAACAAGACACCGTCATTCCCTTTCGAAAGCCTCAGCTCGTAGTTCCTGGATTCTCCGGCTTGCACATGCTTTCCTAGCTCCACATGGGACAGCGGAAGTGGACCAACCAGAAGACAAGATCCTTTGCCAACATCGGGGATGTCAGAGACCTGCGCACTGTGACGTAAAGGCCTGACAACGCCATTGCATGGAAACGATGTCTGTAGCTCCCAAACAACTGATGGATGTGAGCAGGCTTATGAGTCTTTCTTGCCACCCAATTGTGTCTATACAGCAGCTGTTGTAAGGATCCCTTGGTTGTTTCCCAGAATCAAATGATCTGGTCACCCTCTCATGACATGCAATTGACAAGATTTGGAAAATTATGGGTAAATAAATAACCCTTACACTAATATTGCACTTTTCTGGACACTCCACTCAAAGCTCTTTACAGGTAATGGGGATCCCCTCCACCAGCTCCAGTGTGCAGCCCCACCTGGATGATGCGACAGCAGCCATAATGCACCAGTACGCTCACCACACACCAGCTCTCAGTGGGGAGGAGAAAAGAGTGACGATTCTGGTAATGGTACAGAGTAATGGTATTTCTTTCAGTGCTGCTACAGTATGTCTCAGGTGGAGGGATGAAACCTGAATGCACCAGCAATTTCATGTGGCAACGGCTCTGCAGAAGCACATACACTCTTTCAGCGACCCATGGCGTATTTTAAAGTGTGATTTACACCAATGAACGTCTATGCTCTTTATCTGTGCTAACTCACTAGCAACCAGCTCTAAGCATTTTTGTGTTGTCATACATTTTAGTCATTTCCTACTCAGGAAGACTACAAAAAGGAAACCTGACCCATACTGCAAAAATTCATCCTATCATTTACAGAATGAAAATGATTTTGCACATTGGGTGTGACAATTAATGTGTCAAAGGGCTTTAATATATAAGACATTTACACATTTTACTTAAAAATTGCAAAGAATTTTAGAAAAGCAACAATGTCAGTTCAGCAGAAAAACAGCCTTAGGGAACCCTGGGCTTAAATAATGAAATACCTCTGGTGTATTCTGCAGGAGATAAAGTTACAAAGTAATTGGGCTGGGGCAATTTGAGCAAGCCTGAGTTGTAAATAAGTAAAGAGTTGAGGTCAATTAAAAATTAGCAGGAGGTGAGAATGGGATGATCCTAATACAACATTCTAAAAAGCAGATCATCTATTACTGTAGCCTGGGAGATGTGGAAGAAGTATGTACTGTATTGTGACAACACAAAGTACAGTCAGCAAAACAGGGTTGTATCTCAGGGAGAAAACCATTAAACTTACACAGTAGGGTATTTCCCAAGGAAACCTGTTATCACAGTAAAAAGAGGAACATTCATGTGATGTATTGTTTGAAAAAAATGAAATTGTTGATTTGAACATTAAGTCCTTATAGCAGGAAAACAATTTCTTAAAAAGAAATGGTCAGTTCGTTTTTATCATTGATTTGAAATAGATAACTGACTGCTCTTCACGTCGCAGCTCCCGGCTAGGAACCACATGGCCACACACGGGAAAGGACGAGGAAGTGTAGGGAGAATAAGGAGACAGGCACCGCCCCCACTGACAGCACCGCAGTCCTGCAGGGGCCCAGAAGAGCACAGGGGTCACTAGGCTGAGAGAGCCCTCCCGGACTCATCTGACGCTCAGCCAGTTGTATGCTACAGCTGGAGATTCCCAGTTGCAGCTGGCCAGAGATAAGGCCCAGGCTTGAATCCACGATCATAGAGCTTAACCTGGGCTGTTTTACTGGTTGAACTACTCTGGAGACCCCCTGTCTTTTTTTCAATCTTTTCAATGGAGTTTCAGTTTTGTATTTGATTTTTTTCTTCTTCAGATAAATGTATTATGTATAAATGCTTCAGAAATCAACTCCGTTCCTGCTGTCTGGAGACATGACGTGCCTCATCAAATCTTGAAAAGTATGTCAATCCTTACTGAAGGAAACAGTTTACTCAGTTTTGTTTATATTGAGATAAAAGGCACAGGAGGTAACAGCAGTTTCAGAAAAGAATGAGCTGTATGGGGTAGAGGAATGGTGTCCACAAAGAATTAGCCTATGTTCTCCTCAGATACCATAGAGCAACGCCTGTTGTTTTAGACTACAGCACAATGGAAAAGAGAAGCATTCCTGATTCAGCTCTCTCCATCCAATGGAATTACTGCCTGGGGAGGGTTTTCATCTAATACAGCATTCAACTGTATGAATTGCACAGCTGACCAGCTATACAGTATATGCAGCATATTAAGAGGAATTTATGATTCAACATTTTTTCAAGCCACAGCAAAAATCATCAAACCATGGCAAAACATTTGAATCTCATGTTAGACACGTTTCCCTGCTGCAATGTTCAGACTATGTGGCACTGTTGCCTGCTGTATACCTGAGTCTGTCTATATTAAGAAGATGGGTTCCTTTACATACTTTTTAAAAAAAATCTATCAAAATAAACTGCTTTGTGCACATGCACAAACACTACAAAGAGCCGTGAAAATAGCCGTGACTACTAAAAAGATCTGTATTTTTATCCAGAGTCATAGATCGCCCCTGTCCTTCTCATGGAACACAGTGACACTCTCAACTGTTTCTGAGTTCAATGTCACAGGAGCGGGATACAAAATCCGTGCAGGAATGGAATCATGGGAATACTCATCTTGTGGAATTGGATAATTTGTTCCTGCAAATTTAATTTTTTTGTACTCAAAAAAGATGTGCCAATATCTTCTGTTTGTATAATATAATGTTACAGCAGAAATTACATTTTAGCAATCATTGGGTACTCTTAAAAATATTTTTTCTTCAAATAGCAACACAGAAACCCAACACAAAGCAAGTTTTGGAAGCAGTGAAGCATGATAATCTAATATTTAGCTGTACCTCTATTAGCAAAAGCCTGTGTTGTCTCGTGTTTTGGCTGCCACGGTGACTGATGGCCACATTAATGTGAGCAGGCAGATGTTCCTAATAAAATTTCTTTTTACTTCGCAATATAAATAAATACAGGCACTGCTCCATTTTGCAGGTGCTTGCATTTTTCCTTATAATTTGTTCCCAGCTGTCCAATGCAGAGGGACATACAGCACTGAGATGTGTTTTGGCTGTATTTTGGTTAAGGAATGAGTTACAGTACAAGGACCCAAGGAGATTTTATCTAAACAGAATCTTTGAGTTAGTACTGTAACTGATGATTGTTGAGAATGTGGTTTGGTTCTTGGTAATTGATTATGCACAAGTTGATAATGAAAAACCCATCTTATGTGCATAGTATGCCAACATGGGATCTCTGCCAACATGGGATACCAAGGAAGGTTTCTCACTTTAGATGCAGTGCGTGTTCCTCACTATATTTGCTAATTCAATATCTCAGTGCCTGGCCACTTGCAAAATGGTACTGTGTCCTACTTATTCTCACTGTAAAACAGTTAAACAGATTATGTCATTGCATACTGTACCAGAAGAATATCTACCATCATATTCTGTAAAACATCCACAAAATGGAGCTGCAGAAAGAAACCACCTTAGTAACATAATTCCTGTTGACCAGTAAAAACAACACAGTGAAATACATCAATCAAGACATCTGCTGACTCACCATTGGTCTTCTGTTCTCCACTAGATTTATCCCAACGATTCCCAGAAAGGCACCAAAACTAAGCTGTGAAATGGAAGAAGGAAACTTTATTAATCCGTTTCTTTCTTGGCTAGCTGTGGTGACATGAATCCCAGCCACACACAACGTTTAACTTTTTTTAATGAAATGCATAAGAACACAGACTTGTTTCTTATATAGCAAGGACACAAAACAAAACAAAGGAGACCAAATTCCCTTCTTCTGGACTCCTCTTGTTGGAGTAGAAAATCTCCCTTTCCTATCTCCGATTGTGTGAAGCAGTTTTGTTCTGCTATTCTACAACAGCAGCATGGGAATCATGTTTCCAGATACTTTTAATTCTGACAAACATATGACACTTTACAATTCAAAAACTGGATCCAAAAATAATAAAAATAAGTAAATGTCCACTCTATGAAAACTTTGAAGATCTCTAATTAAAAAAAAAACAACAACATTTGAACATGCATGGCTAAATTTAGACTACAGCACGCAGAGTATTAATATGATTTAAAACAAACTCTTTAAATTATGTGCAGCCTATAATTTTAGAAGATTTATAATTTTGCAAGGGGCAGCAAGTTTCTCCATGCCATTCTTGAAGGTTGTGACATAAAACAGCTTTTTTAGAGTTTTAGCCAAAATGTCTTGATAAACATCATGAATCTACTGCACCTGCCGGGACACTGTCTCTCGACTTCTCGTCATTGGCCTGCAGCAGCTCCCTGACTTATCTCTTGTTCCAACAGCCTTGTTCTTAGAGGCAGGTTGTCATTCCCTCAGCCCAGCACGTTAAGCCAATAAATCAATGCAATTCAAATCTCTCCTTTCATTCCGCTTTAAATGGTGTTATTAAACTGAAGTTCACCATGAGATCAATTTGTAATCACGCGCTTCCACTTGCTTATGTATAAAGACTCGCCTGGTGAGCCCACGTTTGTGCTTGGCTTTTCAAACGCCCCATCCTTGACCCAATCTTCACCCCTGCTGCGGCCTCCATGGCTCATTCCTCACAATTGTGCAGGGGGTTGGTAGTTTTGACTTCATTGCCAGGGCTGTCATTTCCTCAGCCAGGTGAGTTAATGCCAAACACTAAAACGTTAATTAAGCTATCTGATTTATATTCATTTTTTCAAATTCAGATTTGACCTCTGAATCTACTGCATATGTCCCAGTTTTTGAAATAATAAAATGAAAGTAAATTCTTATGTTGCACTGATGTGTAATGCTACTTTGACAATTTAATGTGTTCCAGTAAACTCAAGCACAAAGGTAAGATGGGTTCCAATGTAATAAAACCTCAAGGAAAATTCCTTTCCGCATCTTCTGTGTCCAGAGATTCTGTTCAGAAATTCTAGTTGTGTTGTGCTGCAATTTTCTGTGTCACGCAGGCGGTGAACGAAACTGATGTGTAAATTAATTTTTCTCCTATCCTCAGTCTTCGGGGACTGAAAGGCCAAGGTCCTATTTCTGACTCAAGTGGAAATGCGACAAGCAGTCTGAGCATCGAAAATGCGGCAGGCAGGGCTCAGAGGGGCCAACGCTCCTGATCATACAATCCCCACCTGCCTGTCCAGGTCTCCTCTGTCAATCTGTCGTCAGGAGATATAGCTCTGCTCCTTGTGGGCCAGGGGGCCTGATGAGTTTCCATGGCCCTGATATTCACCCCTGGTGAATAACTCCCTGATTTCCACCCTACCCTGGACCATGAATGGCTTTATTTTAATCAATGGTTCACTAAATTGGTCTATATTACCACTGCTTCCAGGTCTATGCTCATTGAAGATTAAAAGCTACCTTAATAACCAGGTAGACTGCAGCCCACCAGGATCAGGAATCAACATTACAGTTTGAGTTACTTCTCTGGAGCAATCATTGGCCTATTTAAGATAATTTATTGGAATTAGGCTGCTAATCATTTATTGAAAAGCATGTAGGATTGGTGTTCAGGGGACTGAAGCTTTGACCACGTAGTGTACTCCTCCAGCACAAGCATCTCCAAACACTTCTCCCCACCTTCGAGTCAGGGTAGCTCAAACCACAAGGCTCTGAGGCAGTGGCCAGTGGCTGATTGCTACAGTATTTACCTGCCGGTGGCAGAGAGAGTCTCTCATACTGGGTCGAGCTCCTCCTGAGAATACTGTCGGACCCTGCGGAAACTGTGGACTGTCTGACCCTTCACGCGTAACCACTGCTTTTCCTTCCAGCCAACCTCTTAGTTACAAAACTGAACCCTCAGTTGACTTAATAATACGATGAACCTTAATCATATCAGTCAAAACCATTTAGCTGCATCCAGCTCTTTCACATGTGAGAGGATGGGTGCCTTTTAGCTGTTGTACTTCAAAATGCAATAGAAGGGGAAAAAAGTGCAAATTTCAGAAGTCAATATTCCAGTTGATATCAAATTTGTCAGTTCAATTAAAAACCAGCTGGAGCGTGGGCCTCCAGGATTCAGGAATGCCTGAGCTAATCAAGAGTCCACTTCCCAGAGGACTCGACAGAAAGAAGGAGAACACCTGACATCACTCCTTCTTGCCCAGGCAGGGCAACCCGTCGCCAAAACTATTCTTTTTCACTTTTACAACTGACCCTCTTACTCTCTCTTCCAGCAGACGAGCCCGAGAAGGCCTTTCTGGAAAAGACTTTTTGCAGTTCAGTCTTTTCTCGGAAGAGTGAATAATTGATTTTTTTTTAAATCCAAACTTTTAAAAAGCTTTATTGCTTTCTGGCTTTTTTTTGGGGGGGGGGGACAGAATAAAACCTGCTAGCTGGGAATTCAAATGCCACATTACATTTAGATTTTAGAGCACCACCTATTGGACTAGAGGATGGGATTGTCTCTTACAATGATTCCGGGATAATAGCTTGCAACTGCAATGTTTTCTGTCCGTGTGGCCGACAGCAGCCCAACCACCAGGATGATGATGGAGAGGACCAGAAGAGAGACTGTGAACCACAGAGCTGTCCTCCGTCTTTTTGCAAACTGTTCTAAAGGAGGAAAAAAGAGAAATAGTTACTCGGCATGGATACTGTATACAATATGTGCTGCTTTAGGGTGGTTTATGGTACAGTATTCCAATGATAGGACACAAACTCTTTCTGCTGTATGACTCCTTCAATCTCCAGCTTCAAAGACACTAGGGAGAGCTAGTGGATTGGACCATTGAAGCCAATTACAAGGCTGATTAAGCAGCTAAGAGCTGGAATGGAAACCTACAGGCACAATGGCTTTCCAAACCTTAAGTTGTACACCCTTCATGAATGAATGAATGTATCTTTCTCTCATGAAGAGACCAAGCAGAGTCTCCAAAGACAATATTCCTGAAAAGTACTTAAGAGGAGTTAACAAACAGTCTGGCTCAGGAGCACCGAAATCCTGATTATTGCATGTGTAGACACTTTTACTGAGCTCAAAGGCAGAGATCTCATTAAGTCACTCTTCACTTCAGGATACTGATATTAGCATTATTTAAAACGGGGTGTTTCTGCATTTGGGGTGGAGCAGTAGTACTCCCCTTTTCTACTGGTATTCATTCCAGTGAAATTAAAACTGCTGGAACTAAATGTATCACACCATTTTTGTTCTCAATTATCAAAATGTTAGTAGTATGAAATCACAGAACATTTTACTGACATCTCGCAAATGTTTAAGATGTGCAAGAAAAAGACATCAGATTAGTAATTGAATTAAGGGCCCAGGTAAATAATTTCGGAAATCATCTTTTTTTATTTTTAATCGCCCACAGCGGACGAACTTGACTTTAATACGAATATAAGCCACTGAAGTTTTAGACATAACTTGCACGATTTTACTTTTCACAACAACAAAAAAAAACACAAGCGACATTTACTCGCTACCCATTAAGTACTGTGAGGCTGAGTTAAGCGCTATTCACGGCTTTAAGTTATCTCATCTGAACAATAAGGGCACCTGCAGCAGACAAGCGGCAGTCCCTGTGTAATCAGCCTTTTCCAAACAGGACTCACCGTTTCCTTGCAGATTGTGTCCGGGCAAACACAGCAGATATTGGAGACAATACGTACAGTACAATCTTTCCGGAGTAGTTCAATATTGTCCTTTTTTTGTAACTAGAAACTTAATTGTGATAGACGTCAACACCAAACATTTTAATTTTAAAATTTAAATATGTTATTATCACCTACACTATACAGCACGTACTGCTTGTTTTCTCTGTGTCCTAAGATCCGGATCGATTTTTATTTATTAAAAGTATAAATTTACTGAGACTTATAACAACACCTTTTTAATCGTATACAATTATATTTGAAATTAATATTATTATATAACATTTATAATACTTTCCTCGGATACGTCAAACTCAAATAAATTCCTTCTAGCTAGGGTTAAAATAATCTTATTCTTCAAGCGCCTTAAAAAATGAGAAACAAAATACCTGCAGTATCCAGCACAGCAGCGGTTCCTGTGACCGTGGGTTGTTGCATTTTTTATAGTCACAGCGGTGTAACAAAACGACAAAAAAGAGTAAAAGAGGCACCAGAAAACCGGCGTGTAATGATGAAAGAGTTTTAGCACATACTGTATCTCGACCATAAAATGTAGCTGTTTCCTCTACAACGCCGAAGACCACGAAGAGTGCAGAACTTCGAGCAGCGCTTGTGGGATGTAGTCAACTGTAGTCAATTAAGTCCCAAGATTTACTCCAGCACCATTTTCTCCTCTCAGTATTCAGTGGTGATAATGTGACCCAGCACGGCCGTGGAATACGAAGGAAGACCAAGCACCGAGGAGCGCTCGACACCTCTGCTGGTGTCTTCTTACCTAATATCATATGCAGCACAGTTACACAAACCACGTGTTAGCATCTCGATGCTCTGCTCGTAATTGTACCTCTCTGGTGAAGTTCTGTTTCTGTGTCCGGAACCACGGGATAGCTAACGCCTGCCTTTAGAATAACTTTCACCGATGACCAGGCACTGTGCGGATCCGAGACGGTTAAAACTAAACCGTTTACATTTGCGGAAAACAAAAGAGACCTGTAAAGACGCTTCTTTTTCATGATGCTGCGTTTTAAAAAAGTCAACCAGTGTCACCTTAAATCTGAGATTTGTAAAGACACAATGTTACTAAAATAAACATATTTTATAGCTGAGCAGTTAATTCTGAACTTTTCCTTAGATATACAGTAAATGCTTAGGATTGTTTTTTGTGGAGGAGAAGGCTTGCAGTAAGTGTTATAGTTAGGTGGATACTACTAAAACTACTGATAAAAGTTAATAAAATGATTTAACACTTGACATACAGTTATAGGTGGGGAACCACTTCATTTGCCACTGTAATACAGCACCCATGCCCTGATATGTCAGCCATTACACAAAGGCGGCCCGTTGTCTGGGACGATCAGGTCAATTACTGAGAGAATATCTAGCTTTGTGACTGCAGCTCAGCAGGTGTGAGCCTGGTCAGTACCTGGATGGGAGACCTCCTGGGAAACTCCAAGGTTGCTGCTGGGAGAGGTGTTAGTGGGGCCAGCAGGGGGCGCTCACCCTGCAGTCTGTGTGGGTCCTAATGCCCCGGTATAGTACTGATGGGACGTTATACTGTTGCAACGCTCCGTGGAAAGCGAAAGGGCATGACGAGGCGTACTGGGCATCCACTGCAACGAAGGAAGTCTGCAGTCGTGACGACTACTCGTACCGCTGGCCCCCGGCTTCTGAGGGCGAGAGAGTGGCACTGCCCCAGGGCAGCGGCTTTCCCACTTCAAGAAGCTCTCCAGCGCAGGTGTCTTCATGCAGCTCATCGTCCAAACAGATGAGCTGCACAAAGTACAACCGTCATCAGCGGACAACCATCATCGAGCTTCACCGAATGAATTAACGGAAGAATTTAGGGAGACCGGATGGGGCTAGCCCGGAGTGAATTTAGCCAGGACACTGAGGTGACTAAATGCTCTTTCGAACAGTGCCCTGAGATTCTGTAACAACCAATTGAATCATCAATGTCCACACTCCTGGAAGAACTCTAGCACTCTAGCATGTGAGAGTAATGTCACAGCTTTATGGACAGTGCTGTGATGATAAAAACTGTCCTTCCGGGTTAAACGTCTCCCACATTGCTTTTCTGTTCCTTCTCTGCCTCGTAACAGGGTGAGGCAGCCCCAGTGCGAGAAAGCAGAAACAGAAAAACCTGGGAAAAAAATAATGTTAAACTCTGGAGCATTCACTGTCATTGGTAGTGGACTAGGTGTTGCAGGAGTTAGGCAGTGTGTGTTGTCTGATGTTTCAACGGGGCTGTCTGTTTCAGCATGTGAATGTCACATATAGTAGGACTCTTTAATGTGCAACCTTTAAGGTTTAGCCACAAAATAATTCGCGTGAAATAAATATGCTGAGAAAATATGGTAGTGAGAGAGTAAGCACATGCAGCTGCCCCTTGGTCACTCAGTCTTGGCAGGCCAAGCCAAACCTTTCTCACCAGGTATTCCAACCACGCAGAAGCATTCAGTCCTTGGAACAGTTCCAAGTTATCATCAAATAACATAAGAACCTATGAAAGGTAACAAACATTTCATATGGCCCATTTAGCCTGTTTGGTTGGTACTTACTGTACAGTAGTGACTAATTGATCCAGTATGATACTCCTTTTAAGTAGATCCAAGGATCTCATCCAGTCGTTTCTTGAAAGAAGCCTAGGAATCGCCTTCAACAGCATAGCTTGGTTTTCTTTCTCACTGTTCCACACAGGAATTCAATAACACTTCAGTAACTTAGAAACTGAAATCAGCCACTCAAAGCTAACACATAATGTTACCAGTACTAATACAATTCTGTGCTGAATATCTTGTATTAAGGAACAAGTAATAGGTTTATTCCATGCTGAAAAAAAGAAGAAAGAGAACACAACGTTTCGGCCGTGGAGCCTTCTTCAGGTGTGCCACACCTGAAGAAGGCTCCACGGCCGAAACGTTGTGTTCTCTTTCTTCTTTTTTTCAGCATGGAATAAACCTATTACTTGTTCCTTTGCAGCCTACGCATGCTGACGCAGCTACCCACCTGAACTATCTTGTATTAAGGTCTCACAACACTTTGCGTAAAAGGATGTCTTATTTTCTTGGTTTTAAAGCATGTCTATATGTTTCCACTATATGTGATCTCTGCTTCGAGCTTCACTGTTTATTCCTAGGGTGCATACTGGGTCGACTTTCTCAATGACTTTGCACTGAATGAAATTCAGCTCTTTAAGTAGTACAGCATCGATCATGTATACCTCAAAATAAACGAGAAAATATGACCTAAGCTCACTAAGGCATCGTGCAAGTCTGCCTAAATGTTTCCATATTTACGCCCAGTTATTTATTTAAAATATTGTCTCATTTGTTTCATAAGCGATCACTGGACTCTGGATGGTATTTTGTGAGCCAACTGATGGCAGTAGATATCTGTTAATTCAGAGCCATCTCCTTAGGGATTTCTTAAAAGCAAGACAACCTTCAGCACTGAAGCTTTAAATGGTTTTACTTTCCATTCTCAATAAAAAATAAATTATGTTCTTATCAGATTCAATAACATAACATCATAGGTTAGATGTCAGCTGCCAAAATGGCCTGTGTTTAATCCTATTGTCTTTTCTCTGCAGTGTTATCTTTGAACCACTGTTGTCACGGACGTCCAAAGGGACTAACCGTGGGGAGCAGGAGAGCGGAAAAAGATCCATATGCGTAGCGGCGAGACGGGAAAAAGGCCCGGGCTCATTAGTGCAAAGAGTTCAGGAATGCCGTATAGAAACCTATGTCCTCAGGGAGCGGACGTGTGGCGTCCTGGTGCTAGGTTGGTCTCAGGACATCCGAACGTCAATGCTGAGCGAGGACAGAGTGCAAGACCCGGAAATATATAGCCCAAGGGAAAGAGAGGGACCAGAAGGACAGCAGACCGGAAACTAGGGACAGGACAGGGGAGGAGCGCCCTCTGGCTGCAGAGGGCGTGACAACTGTACTGTTTTAAAGTTAAATATTTAAAAGTTCACATTATAAAATGAAAACCATAAGCACCAAGAAGTGAAAAGCAAAAAATGAGGATGTTCCTATGAACATCTTTTTTCTCACAACACACTTTCGATAACTGCTTATCCAATTCAGGGTCACGGTGGCCTGGAGCCTGTCCCTAGAAGCATTTGGTGCAAAGTGGGATACACCCTGGATGAGACACCAGTCCATCCCAGGGTGCTTTTTATTGTAACACGGTGACTTAAATTGCACACAGTATTCTAGATGACGTCTAACTAGTACATTGTACAGTACAATTTTAAACATAACACCTCTTACGTTTACACTTTCAGCAATTCATCGTAACATTCTGTGGGACTTTTTTTTCCTGCCTCCCCCCATTGTCTAGATGAAAATGATATGGTAACATTAGCACCCTGGATGCTGTATCTGAGCCATTCAGGACCAATGCTGGGAGGAACAGCAAGCAAAGCATTGCAACAATCTAAGAGATTAAAACAGCTGTCATTGTTACATGATATGGATGTTTCTCGTTTGAGCAACGTTAGCAGACAAGACGTATGTTGGTTTGGTAATTAGTACAAGAGAGAGCTCTATAAATGGATTAGTGTGAATATTCATATGCAGTTCAGATTCTTAAATTCACTGTGGGGTCAAGTGGGTACAGATATTAGTTGTTGAAAATATTTTAAAGAAGGAGAATGAGATCTGCCGTATTTGGAGCCCACGAAATGTCTCTGTGTTCTGTTGATTTATTTTTGGGACTCGGTCTGCGTTTCCCATGGCTCCAGTTCTGAGGCCGCGGTCGTGCAGGGGTGTGGTGCCGATCGTAGAGGAATTTTCAGTGAGTCATCCGGAAGCCATGGCAGAATGCAGTCTATTTCCTGACTGGATGTGGGGTGCGAGCCGGACCGCTGGATGGTCAGAACTGGAGGTTTGTGAAAGGGCTGGAGAAACCTGAACCAGGAGAAAATACTGTACCTCATGAGGCGACTCTGCCTGTATTTGCCAATGTATTTAAATGCAAGATGGTGCACAAGCTAACAGCTGCCCCTGTTATGCATATACTGGAGATAGACTTTACTCTCAGTAAACATACCGTACAGTATGCAAAATATTTGCTGAAAATCCTGCAGTTGAGACTGCTGATCACATTCACAGAATGTGTAGCTGGAGTGCTGCCTTGGTCGCTATTATATCTGTTGTAATTAATCATTTAATACTTACAGTACATGCTGCCTGTGTTTCAAGTCCTTGGAGATGAACAGAGGCTTAAGATTTAAGACTGGTTGTATTCAAAATGATAAATGCAGTTTCAGTTCTAGCCCTAAGTATACTAGTTCTAGCTTAACTACAATTGAATAATATACAGTAATATAGTTTCTGTAGAATAGCACTCAACACAGAACAATAAGAGTGCTAAATATGGACAGAAACAAGAGCCCCTATTGGTGCATTTCATTATAAAGAAGTCTGGATGGAATGAAGCAGCGCTTTTCAGATCATGAGCCACATTGTGCATTACACATTGTCAGAATGGAAGAGTTTGGGTCCCCTTTCAGTAGTAATTCATTGTAGAGGTCTTGTGACAATAGTCCTGATGTTTCTTGTTTTGTTCCTCCTGTTAAGAGAAGCTGCTTTAGAAGGTTGGAGTCGATCCATCCATCTATTTTCTATCTGCTTTATCCAGCAGAGGGTCGGGGGGAGCCAGAGTTTATCTCAGCAAGCATCGTGTGCAGGGCAGGATACATCCTGGACAGAATGCCAGTCCGTCACAGGGCAGACTCACACGAACGCTGACACACACACTCACAGCAGGGCCAGTTTTCCCAGAAGCCAGTTAAACTCCCAGCATGTCTTTGGACAGTGGAAGAAAACCGGGGTACCTGGAGGAACCCCACAAAATCTTGAGGCGAACACACAAACTCCACACAGATAGCACCCAAGGTCAGGAAGTGAACCCAAGGCCCCTGGGCTACATGCTAACCACTGTGCTACCCTGAAGCAGACTCCTCATACCTAAAATACCTTTAAAAGCTACTTTCAGGCAGTCAGTGCAGCTAGAATTTCTTTACTTTGCTGCTGAACTGTGTATTAGAAAGTGTAATTCTTTGCAAGAATCAGTGAAGCTCAGTTACAGAGAAGTAAAATTGAGTGTATGAAAACACCATAGAAAAATATGAATAATTTTACACTGCCTCATATCTGACATGACCTTAGTGAAGGGTAGAGCGTGTTGAGGCATTTCCAGAAAGGAGGTGGACTGTTGCTGTCAGAGCAAGCCGTGATAATAGCAACCACCACTTGTACCCTATCTCACAGGAAGTGCAATATCCAAGGACAATCAAGACTGAAAGAAGTCTTTTACTGGTGCTTTTCTGGCAAAATATCTTTTTAACGGAAGGCTTTGCTGGTAAAGGTCTGTATTAAATGGAATATGAATAGTTAATTTTCCTGCCATTACATAATGATGGGTGTTTTTTTTTCCTGCAGCAGCAGGTTTAAAGGTTGCTTCAGTTAATTGTAAATTCTACTAGAAATACATTTCACATCGGTTCTCAGGGTTGATCCCCGTAATTTACAGTCTAAGAGATTTACAGCATGATTTTAAACTGAGGAAATGGAGACTCTTTTGTTTTTTTATAACTGTATTGAAGCATTAGAAAACCAGAATTCAATAGCTTGAAAAGTAAACCTAATGAGATGCATCAAAATTATTCTATCTGTAGAAATACCAGTTATATTGTACAGGGCATTTCGTAATTCCTTGTAACTCTGCTTTGCCATCTGTACAATTCTATGTTAAAGGTCACATTGTATGTAATACAATATGGAAAGGAAAATAGCTATACAGTACTTTCTGGGTCTGCAGAACATATACATCTAACTACAATTATACATAGGTATTTATCAACAACAAAGACTAACATTTTTGCATCCTGTACATTCATTTATGGTATTTAATACAGTACATAGTGCAGTATAAAGAAAAAAATAATTGCTCAATTTTACAGAAGATGCGTACATAAAACACACTATTTTTAGATTTCTTGTTTTTTTCAAAGTAGAGCAGGTATGTGGAAATTGTATTATTAAAAAGAATGAAAGCACCTTACTATTTTAGCACGTCTAGCCTTTGAGAAAAAAAATATCAGTGCACAGAGGTGTTCCAAAGCACATTGCAATGGGTGTTTGAGCTATGTTTCTTCACCATGTAAACAGTACCTGGAAGACAAGAGGGTATTTTTCACAGGACACTGGTGCTTCAGGGCCTTCTGCTGATCACACACCAAGAACTACTGCACACACAAATGATAGGTCCCTTACAGCTTCCTGTGGAAAATCGGGCAGTGCCCAGCTCTAATTTCTCCTCACCTTGGCAACCTGCATGTTAGCGAGCATGGCTGATGAGCCCCTCTGCTGTCTTTGTGCAGCCCAGGGCTGTTTTCACCCGGGGTGTTTCTGCCTGGGAGGAGAATTCACTGACCACTCCGTGTGGCTAGTGCATATCTGGTGAGGCAGACAGTGCCCTAGCCAGTGGGGAAAATGAGGCCTTATTACTTCCACACTATATCTGATTTTAGTTTATCTGTTGGCTGGAAACTTTAAACTCCTAAATGTACCAAAGAACTTTAACTAGGTACTTTGCCAGCAGCATTTAAGCAAGCACAATCAAGGTCTATACGGCCATGCGTTTCACAACCATTGCGTTCTTTCAAAATTTTATGTTCATTCAGAAAGCATTGATAGTCCCCAAAAGACTGATCGTCTGTCATCTCTTTATTTACCCTTGTGATGGGACGTGAAAATAAATCAGGATACACAAATAGCCAAGACATCACACAAGATATAAGTTTGTCTGGCTACCTGGTCAAACTACTTATATAAATATTTAACTAAAAATCAAGATAAATAATAGCCTAACCAGTTTTCATTGTATTTAAGACAAACAAGTTATGTCCATACATAACGATTAAAGTAGCATCGTATGATACATTTGTACTGTGATAGATGCGTGACTGGTCTCTTGCACTATTAACAGTCTCAATGGTGATGCAGAGGCTACACAACCTGCAAATGAAAGTCACACACAGGATTGCGTTAAAGAACTGTTAACATCAAAATAAGAAATAAAAACAGAGGTACATCCTAAACACTGCAAAAAAACTACAAATATATCTAATAATGTAAAATCACTCTGGAATGCAAAACATTGCACAGCAAAAGCTTATAATTTTTGTGTCTGCTATTTTGCATTAGGGCCAATTAAATGTGAAAATATTGAATAAGAAACTTTTAGTTTTATTACCAAACTCTATTTAAAACAATCACTTTTTACAACTGAACATTTGAACAAGTAAATGCTATTTTTCCCATATTTATTTTATGCACATACTGTACATAAGTATTTCATTTATTAACATAAACAGATTTTCAAACTTGGTAGCACCTTCATACTTCATACAACAGAGACAAAGATGATTCTATGTTGTTTCTTAGTCAGTGGTGTTCTAATAAAAGCAAACCCTCTCTTCAGGGGACTCTTCCCCTGTCTTAAGCATTTAAACATTGTGACAGGAACAGAAATTGCATGCACAGTAACAACAGGAAGCTATTCTGAAATAAGATATTAGGATATTCTTGTAGTGAAAGAGGTCTTCTTTATCATTGATTAGTTTACTTCAACATTTAGGAATTCATTTTGAAAGTGCACAACTTAATACCACACGTTTACAAAAAGAAGTAGACATGATGTTTGGGAACAACATTACAAATCGGCGCAATTATTGATTGACGTATGGTAGGTAGTCATTTAAGAAGGCGCATGATTAAAGCCAGGTGGAGTAAGTACTGACAAGAGCAAATTGTTTCATGTAATGCTGTTTGCAACACTGCAGAGACCTTTACTTTGGCTCTTCATATTGGTGGCTTCGCAGATTACATGTCACAGTTGTTTAAAGTACAACTGTGACAGTTGTTGTTTAAAGTTGCCTTAAAGTAGTGTTTCATTATAGTTGTTTATATTTGCAAGAGCATTAGCTTCTCAAATTGGAATTCGCTCATATGACCCTTGTGCAAAAGATGTGCTTTTTAAACTGCTGTGATCAGCTTTTCACCAATGGCTTATCCCTAGGGAAGGAGGAAGTGGATTCCAAGTCATTTCAGTTTTTGATCCCTTATTATGAGAAAACCTCAAATTTAAAAGCTAAGCAAGATAAGGGTCCATCTCCACCAGCTGGGCATACTCTGACTGTCTAGTGAACCATTCAAACAGTGAGTAAAAAAATATCAAGGTAAATGGAGTGATTAAAATTTGATTGATGTGCGTAAGAGTAGCTGCTTTTGAATTGTTACTTTTTGCCTTTCTACCGCCCTGTTGAACTGATGCCACCTCTCTTAACCCATCAACAGTCGAGAAATTGAGAAGGTTCAATTACCAGCGTAGCTGAAGAGCTGTACAGCATCCCTAAGAGACAGCGCACACCCCAGACTTAGGTGGAGGCTCTAGGATGGACTCTCTCCTTAAGTCATTGGGCAGCTTTCCACCTTCCCCCCAAACATTGAGCTCTCCAAACACGCCAGTCTCTATCATCTCCTCCTGCCAGGGTATAGAGATGTTCCCCGAGGCAAACTCGTCGAAGAACTCCTTGTCGTTGTCCTCAAGGGTGACCCCCTTCACCGTGGAGAACGCTCCCACGTCCTGGATGTCCTTTGCATAGACGGTTTTCGAATCCGGAACAAAGGGGGGTGGCAGGATACCTGGGAAAATAAGGGGGAGGGGGGGGGAGGAATGGTGAAATTTCCCCGGAAGGACACACCGCCCGGAAGAGAAGAGAGCTTTGTCTAATCCGGGAAGAGCAGGTTGTTGGCAAGTTCGGAATAGCTGGTCCTAATGTAGTATCGTGTGTGAAGCCCAGAGAGATCGTTAGATGAAGAGGCTGTGTGCTGTGACACCTTTTAACCACCATGACTACTAATGACTGGGCCTAGATCAACAATGATCAGCACAATGTGAGCTAAGGGAATGCACCTCTGTTTTCATTTTCATGTTCTGATGCAGTATATGCCATTGTGAAACATCAGGGATATATCTCACTTTTTTCCTGAGTGTTTCTTACCCTGCAGTGAGATGTCCTTTCACATCACAGTTTCACACACAATTAAAATCGACCATTTCAAGGAAATCAGTCGGTGGTGACCTGATTCATTTTTTCCCACTTCTAATGTTTCGCCATTCATCCTAAGTGGTGTTATTAGGTGAATTAGACCCAACGAAAAATGAGTGGTCCGTCTAGAGGGGTATGTCTTCTCTAACATTCTGCGATGTAAATCGGAGTGTATCAAATAATCTATTTTTCTTTATTGTGCTGAACCAAATAATCTTATTCTTTATTAAAGTACCTGCTTCCAGTTTCCTCCAGTTAATGCTGTTGAAGAAAGGGTGCGCTCTGAGCTCATCGCAGTTCCCATTCTTCAACCCTAGACGGTTCTCCACCTCCTTCGCCAGAAGCCCCTCGCAAAACGCTTTGGCCTCCTCGCTGAACTTCTCTGTGTAGACCACAGGGTCGTTCAAGATTCGCTTTTTGACCTCTTTGTTTTCAACCTGCAGCATTCAAAACAAAGCTCTGCGTCACTGTCCTGTGCTGTGTGAAGGCAGAGGTCAAACGTGAGGGAAACATCCAATCAGGTTTGTTGTCAACATTCCTTAAGTAGCCTGATTAATGTAAAATCTAATGAAATTTCAGCCTATGTGATGATCAGTTATTTTAATTCACATGCAATCAGATAAGTGCTCTTTCGGTTGCAACTTCATGAGTGATGTAATACCCAACACATACCACAGGGTGGCAGAGAATTTGTGCTCCTCACTGAAACCCAATTGATTTCTCACAAGCAGAGAGCTCCACTTAGCTGTTTAGAAAATATCAGGCCAGATATCATTTGTCCAGCTTCTGCTTGGAGCTCTGAGTACATTCATCATTTCAGCTACTTTAACACGAAGCACAGCATTGTCTGTAGGCTTACAAGTGAAGGCTTTTATGTTTAAGTTCGGAATCGTACAACCCAATATCAGACACAAATGCAGATAGAAAAAACTAACTCTGGACCCTGGTGCTAGGACTGCTGAGCTCGAAATGCACACACAAACTAAATCAAGTAAACATAAAGGTTAAGCACAGATTTTAGTCAGTATAGGCAATGGGCGACTTATTCAGAGTTCATGATCTGCCCTATAGCCTGGTGCTTTACCAGTGCAAATCCTAACTGTGGAGCCGCCACAGAGTGACAGAGCATTGCTGTCAGGTAAGGACAGGGTGCAGGTCTCTGGTGGTGGTGGAGGGGAGTTATGGGATATACAGTATATGGATACTTTTACTCAGTGTAACATATAGGAGATCAAAGGCCCAGCTGTTTTTAGGCTTTGTGAAAGGCTTGAGCAGAAATGTAAGCTGTTTTAAGCCATTTATCTTTTTTGTAAGCAGAAACAGAAACTAGTCCCGTCAGTGTGCCCAGTTGGAAATGGATAAGCTATTTTTTTACTTCTAATGACACAGCATTTTCCAGTAAAGCTGTGTTTTTTTTCCTTTAACAGCTAAAAAATAAAAAATCTTTTACAGTGGAACAACTAAAGTTGCCCAGGGGCCCAGTTATTTTTTAATCACATTGCTGAATGAAAAGTTGGATAAAAGCTCCAAATTGCCTCATAGATTATATCAAATGGCCACTGTGCCTTATGGCAGGGAACACAAATGCAAAAATGACACATTTTTAAATATATATATAATCAATAAATATTTTTTAATTTGCTGCATCATTTTTTAAACCTTTTTATCTGGCAGTTTGGACGTTAAGCGTCACAGTCGTGACGCAATGCACTGTGGAAAAGGTCTGAACGTGTCTCCTGTTTGTACTGCCTTTGTTAGCACAGCACAAGGAGTTCTGAAGCCTTGTGAAGGTTAATACAGTTGTACTAGCGTGCCCACAGGTTGTGTGGAGCGGACGGAGCGCGTGATGGGAATCAGAAGGGTAGAAGAAGAAAGGGGAGCGTGCAGGAAAACTGTGATAAGCTTCTCAGAGCATGCAAAGCACAATCTGTACTTCCCAGCTTTGCGGCATTGAGCTCTTATTTCAGCAGCGCAGGAAGGCAGCTCACTAGGGTGGATTTTTTTAATAGAGAAATTGAGCCTTCTATATCTAAACAGGCATCATATCCTAAAGTCAAAAAATGTTTTCCTCAAAAAATACTATCTTAAAGAAGGAGCAAGTTACAGTATTCTTCTTTCTGCCTTGTTCTTCCAAATGTTCGGGAAAAGGGTATCCTAATGATCTGAAATTGCAGATGTTTCTTTTCTTTGTTTTCCAATCTGTACGCCCCCGGGGGAGGGGTGAGAGAAGGCTGGGATGTTGACGGGGCTGGGGAAACAGTATAACAGCAGAGAGAGAGAACCTTTTCTCCTCGGGTTCGAAACGGACCCTTGGCAGCAACCATTTCATACAGCGTCACTCCCAGGGTGAAGTAATCGACTGAGTAATCGTACTCCTCGCCTTTCAGCAGCTCGGGAGCCATGAACCCTGCAGGAGCAGGAAGACATCGTTAACCTCGTTAACCTCACTCCGGCAGCGGGGAACATCAGTGCTGCTCATCTTGCCCGTGTCTTTCCGTTACAAACTAGCCTGGACCTCAAACTTGAACTTTTGAACCAAAAAACGACATTTGATTTCTAAGTCTGTTTATTATGTCATTAAGATCTGCCTTGGACCGACTATCAGAGAACAGTCAGGCCCTTAAGCACCTATATTGTATAATCCTGAAAAGAGTCCATAGTCACAGGACATTTGTACCCTAAAATAAGAAAGTCCCTGACATCACACACCAGTTTCTTGAGGTCTCCTTCTCAAGAATGATTTTCTGTAGTGGTCATTGTTTGCCATGCTACCTGCCTGTAATACAGTTACTGAAAAGACTTTTCGAACTGACTACAGTATGTGTGATGGGGAATCAATATGGGAGAAGCACATGCACTGACTTATGTAGATCACTGACACATGTCTCACTCTGAGTTCATTTCCTGCCATTCAGTTTTGACAAATCATGATCATAGGTGTTGGAGCAGTAAGTTAGAATGTTAATATGAACTGGACCTATGGACAGCGGGCTGGAGCACATCATAGTGTACGTACACAATCGATCACAATGAAAAAGCTTACTGAGTGCTCTCCACAGGAAATGAAAGTACTTAAACAAACCAATACATTATCACAGAGAGCGCTGGAGAGCTACGTCTTCTGTCTGACACAGCATGATATTGTCTCTCTCTAACTCTACACTGGAGGGAAAACTCTCTCACTAGCTGAAGGGTATGATTAATCCTCATGCAAGACAAGCCTTCAGTCCAAAGATGTCCAAACAGGTGACCACATCTGCACCTTCACTAAGTTGCCTCATCGTTTGACTAACACCAACTCAGGGGCTAGAGTGAAAGCATTAAAACACATTTAACTTCAGAGTTACTGATTATTACCTCCAACCAGTGGAGGTGAAATGGACTAACTCTGGAACTTTTAAGGCCTCAGAAACAAGGTCATCTTTGGACTTTTCTAAAATAAGTTTGAAATCTGACCTGACTCTAAAGGGTTTAGTCGGAAGAACGAAGAACAGATTTACCTGGAGTTCCAGCATAACCTTTAATTTTTGTTTGGTCGTCTTTCAGCTCCACAGCAAGACCAAGGTCAGAGATACGCACGTTACCTGGAGACCAGATTTCAATGAGTAGAGTTGCTGAAACAGCGTTAAGTCTAATGTAAACCCTCTGTCAGATTCCTCTCTATCAGGTTAAGTGTGCTAGATACAGTATTAAAGCACATAGATTAGTGAACAAACAGGTCCTACATCACCATATCATAAGCAAAGGAATGGCAACATTGATATATTACAATCAGAAGAACATAGAACATAACAGATAAGAAAGGTTACAAATGAGAGGAGGTCATTCAGGCCATCTAGCCTGTTTAGTACTTAGTAGTTAATGGGCACAAGGGTCTTATAGAAGCCAGGGTTTGGGGATCAACAACATTGTTTTTAATACAAAACTTTTCCACAGGTATTTAATTAAGCTCCACAACAGACACTTGCAAACTTTGAGTCAGCTGTGCTGTGATAATTCAGAATGGTACTGTACTAGTACTAATACAGGCCACAATAACAGAACGCTCCAACACCCACGGTATCCCACCATCCTGACCTTCAGGGGGCGCCAGACATTGCTGGGGTATTTACAAATTCTCGGGTAAAGTTATTCTCAAAACTTCTAAAGGCTTTTTTTCTGGGTTTGGTCCTTTGCACAAACTGGAGGACAGCCGGAGAGGCTTTGCAGATAAAAGAGAGCAGATATTACCTGACTTCCTTCCTGAGACCACAGGCCTCGAGAGCAGTGGATCAATGTGCTCGTGGTTTCTGTTTGAATCTTACCGTCGTTGTCCAGGAGCACGTTCTCTGGCTTGAGATCTCTGTAAATGATCCTCTTCTGGTGGAGATGCTCCATTCCACAGATAATCTGCGCTGTGTAGAAGCAGGCTCGGAGCTCCTCAAACCCTGGGTTGTTCTCGTCAACATTGTAAATGTGGTACCTGGTGTGGAGAGGGTTTTATCTGAGCGGATTAAACAGCATGCAAGCACCATTCATAGGAGCATAAGGCATGTTAAGAAACGACAGGAGTTGCTGCAGCCTGTCTAGCTGGTTTGATTGCTAACAGTTAATTCACCTGAGCCTCTCATCTAGCCTCTTCCTGAAGTTTGGGGGTCACCTTGAGCACACGGTTGGGGAAGCCTGTTCTAGACTCCCACAACCCTTAGTGTAAAGACCCACCTCCTGTTCCCAGTTTTAAATGCACTTCCCCTTAACTATTATTTGTGTCTTCAGGTTTGTATTGTATTGTTTTCTGCAGAAGAGATCAATATCATCTGAACCTTTTTGTGCAAGACGGTCTAGCAAAGATCCCAATGTCTTCTCTGTTCAGAACTCTAAAGCTTCAGTTCTTCTACCCTGTCAGGGATGGGCATTCCTTTAATTTCATGATTGTATCTTGTTGCCCTTATCTAGACTGATTCCAGAGCAGCAAAGTCTTTTTTTGTAGTGCAGTGAAATTTTTAAAAATTTAAATTAAGTAATAATGGTGCATTGTGCTCTTTTTACGTAAAAGCCCTTAATTTAAATTCAGTTCATTTACCTGTATATGCTTACTTTGTATTTGCTTTTTGAATTGCTTACTTGCATTATCTAGAAGACTAAGATAATTAGTTAAATTAACAATCTTTATCAGAGGTAGCTTCTTCAAGCTTGGTGGTTCACTTAAGCAGCTTTCCTCAAACGAGCCCAAAACCAAGTCCAGTTAGAAAAGTTTCCAGGTGCCTTCTTTGATATTGCTAAAAGGGATTTTGAACAAGAAGTAGTCCTTAGGTAAGTGACACTACTTCATTGAGCAGGTTGCCTTGAATTTGAACACCAAGTAACCTGTTTGCTTGAAAGCAAACTGCATTGCTGTTTAAAACACAGCTTCTCTGCTTAAAGCAATTCAAATCCATGGGCAATAAAATTAAATTACTCAAGTGTAACTTTCAGTCTGGTGTTAGATGCTGTATTCAAGTCATGGTGAACCGAACAGCAGAGCTAGAGTGGCTTATTGTACAGTAGGTCTTTCACTACAGAGCTGGGATCCTGTGTTTCCAGAAGACACAGAGGTAAGGGATGTACTAGTCTGCTCAGACAGAAACAATGTCTTGCTAGGTGGTGGAGCAGAGATTAAAATGCAATATTTGAGTACCCTATTTTGACTGGAAGACAACCCCTTTGAGGCTGTTCCTAATAAAGTGACATAGCTGCCGAGAGGAAAGCACTGCTAATCTGTACAAAGTAGTCAAGCCCCAGTGGCCCAGGAACCTGTGTGCTGGGCTGCTACATGACAGATGCTTTCCCCTGCTTCAGGTACTGATGGTTGAAGAACGTGCCCACCAGAAGGCCTGCCTCACGTGATGCAGTAGCACCACCTTTGAGATGGATTTTACCTCAAGTCTCCTCCGTTCATGATGGTCATGACCAGGCAGAGGTCTGTCTTGGTTTGGAAGGCGTAGGCCAGAGAGACGATGAAGCGGCTGTGTACTCTGGCCAGGATCCTCTTCTCCACCATTGCACCCTGCAAGAGCCCACAGCAGGCATGAGGGTGACAGGGCTGCACCGCGGTGGATCTGCTGGGTGTGCGTTTGCAGCCTCCGTCACAATATTGTTATACACAGCGTGGTAACCATCATCCTCAAGTGCTTTACACTGAGTTAGAGTCATTCGTGATAACAGCTGCCATAGCTCTTAGTGTTACCTGGTCATGCCAGGCACACCCTGTCTCAAGATTTAACATGGTTCTCCCGCAGGTCATACAGCTCTTCCATCTCTGCTGTCCTCCCCAGCCAAAGACTTCACTATGAGACTTCACACTAGCCCTGGACTTCAAGCTTCCTGAACTCTGCCTGATCCACTGCCTGACTGAAAGAAACAATAGGTTTGTTTATATAGCCCCAGGCCTGGAAATTAAAACTAGCTCCACAAACACTCCAGAACTGCAGAAGAACACGAGAAGCGCATATACAAATGAGAGGGAGTGTCGGTCTCTCTAGCTTCCTTTCTTGAAAAAAAGCTAACGTGATCTGAGTCTTCCTCAGCTGAACTTCCTCAGCCACATGGTGTTTGAAGTAGACTCCCACAGCCCATAGTATAATGGAGTGCCTCCTGCTTTCAGTGTTAAATGCATTTTTGTATCTGATGTCCTCTGGTCCATTTAAAACAAAACTAAGATATACATGAGCAACCAAAGACATTCTCAGTAGGATTCATGGACACTCATTTAAACATGCAACATGACAATCCCCACTAATCTGTCTAGAGGTGACATTCCAGAGAAGGTTACAGCAGTGTCTCTTAATCACTTCTATGGGCTCCTTATTACATTCTCTCTGATCCAGTTACACCACTTCCAGCAAAATGTTGATGAATAGGTAGCGAGAGGAATTTCCATAGATAAGAGATAAAAGGACTCATTTAAAATCTAACTGAAGCTTTTAGGTGTATCTTAATTTTTGGATGTAAAATATTTTTTAACGACTTTGTTTAACACAAAATGAACAATGCTGGATGTCCACCTGGCCTATCAATCTTTCAATCAATGAATCAATCAACCAACCAAACAACCAATCTTATATAGCACCCTTAAATCTTAGCACTTTCAATCCAGAGCATTCTCAAGGTACTATGTGTAAATTAGAAATTAAAGTACTTAAAGTAATGAAAAGGCTAGTTTTGAGACAAGATTTAAAGGCATCAGCAGTGGGTCTGTTTTTAATATTGTCAGGAACAGTTTTCCAAAGAACAAAAAGGTTTGGTGCCCTAATAGAAAATGTGAAGTCCTGTGAACACTGAGGAAGCATGCAGGACTTTTAACAGCACTATAACATTAGTACTGTCAATCCAAAAGAACGATTAATTAAATCATTTACAAAACTGTAGTGCAGAGCCAATATTAAAAGCACAAGAGTGATATAATAGCCCTCAGTTTAACCATAATGGAATTTTAGTAGTAATACTGACAAGATAGAGTATTCTTAATTGTTAGTCATTCCACAAGAAAGAGCTACATACTCCAATTCTCAACAAATAACCAAAGCCTGTCCAAAAAAGGCTACAGAAATATGATTTCTGCATTGACGTGGGCAAGAAACGTAATGAAGTGCGGCTCATCTTATATGCGAAGTGCTTTGATGCCCTGTGGAATGGGATTATTCTTATTATACATGCCTTTCCAGGATGGGAGGAGAGCAGAAATTATGAACCAAACAAAAGCATTAAATGCATGAGCTACTCAAATACAGAATCTTGTTCCTTAACCAAATTAAAGGGCAAAGGATAATCCATTCGGAGAAAATCCTATTTTCCATTTGATAGTACATTGTTAAAAGAAGACGGAGGCACAGTTGATGTTGATAATGCCGAAAAAAACAAGGAACTGTACTCGTGGGATGGAGACTCTGGCAAACAAATGATTTTGTAATTAATTGCTCTATGAGGTCAGCACATCCCCATACACTGCAGGCCCAGGTAAGCAGTTTCCCTATAGAGTGGAAAAAAAAACATGACTGAAGTTAACAATTAAGTTCCTGTAAAAGCATGTGAAAATAAATGCAGACACCGGACAACAGACAGAAGACATGAAGTGCTTAATTCCTATGAAGAGAAATACAAACCGTTAGGCCATATCCTAATTATGATATATATCCCGGGACCCGTTTTTCGACAAAGGAAGTCACTTACTTCATAGCCTTTCCTTTTCTTGAGCCGTTTCTTGCTCAGCTTCTTGCAGGCGTAAAGTTTCCCCGTGGCCCTCATCTGGGTGGCGGACACTTCCCCAAACCCTCCTTTGCCCAGGATCCTGAAGTCCAGGAACCAGTCCTCGCCGATGGGCTGAGCCTCCAGCCACTTCCACTGCAGGAACCTCTTGAGGTACATGGTCTCCAGGTAGTTTGTGAAAGGAAGGTCTCTGAGGAAAGCCAGGGTGCCCTCCAGGCTCTCCACAAAGAGGTCGTCCTTGGCCATTTGGTGTTCCTCCTTCACCTTGCTGATGGTCGAGCCCTGCAGGAAAGAGCAGAACTGCTTGGCATCCGACTCCATGTACCGGGAAATGATCTTGGAGGCCTTCTGCACGCGGTCCTTGTCCTCGGCCGTGTCATATTCCTCTATGTCCTTCCAGAGCTTGGAGGCAGGCTTGTACTGGGGCACGGTCTCCAGGTACTCCTGGAAGAGGCGCTTGCCGATCGGCTGCTGGCAGCAGATGCTGTCAAACTCCAGGTCGAGCTGGTCCTTCAGGTCCTCGCACTGGGTGATGTGGGGCAGCTTGAGCTTGGCACGGTACTTCTTGTCCCGGTTGGCCGCCGCGTTGCTGCTGCCGTCGAAGCTGGCGCGGGCCGAGATGTAGGCCGAGTTGGCCACCACCGTTTCCAGACCCCCTATGTCCATCGCGGGGAGCTCTCTGCTGCGCTGGGCTGTGTCCGCTCTGCCTCAACACCCGCGCATGGGAGCCCGGCACTGGGCGAAGCGCAGAGGGAGAGGGGACTCTCTCTCCGGAGCTGACAAGAACTACCCTCAGGGGGCCCCCGGAGGCCCTCGATCAGCCCCTTAAAGGTCCGTCAGTCCAGACAAATTCTCATTAATAAGGAAAAGGAAGCACCGGGATCCCAGCCCCTCATCACTCCCTAAACCTGGATCGTACTGTATGTCTACCCACTCAAGAGCGCTAATCCAGTCCCTGCGAACATATTATAGAGAGGTTTAGCAACAGGGTGAGCGAATGACAGACAGAAAAGATATCCCTGAGTCAACATGTTTCTAAAGTCTCAATCCACTTAGTGTATAATACCTCCTATAATAACTGCTAATTATTCCTCTCCAAGCACATGCCTTCGTCTGCTCCTCCCGTTATCAGAACAGGAAGGGTCTGCAGGCGTAGATCTGAGATCTCGCCATGCTACAATACAGAAGGTTTCTTTCATTTATACAGTTGTCTGATCCAGAGCCGGACAATCTGTTCCCTTTGTAGCCATACCCAATAAAATAATGCCGATTGGTCGTATTAAATTATATCTGGGAATGGCCAACATCAAACTTAAAAAAAAAATGTAAGTAGTAACATTTTTCATACAAGACACATCAGTTTTAATTTAACATAAACACACATTTTTATTCCTTTTTCGTGGACCATTTGTAATTAATTTGACATTTTTACTAAAATAGGGCAAGAACACAACAATTAATCAAAGTATTATGTTCTTGCTCAGTACACAAATTAAAAAAAACAAGAACTGAATATTGGAACCAATAACATTTGTTGTGTTAGTAAGCAATGTGTAATCATATCACTAGGTCACATTTTGACAAAAAAAATTGGGTACTTTTTTAAGTGTATATGTCTGTGACCAAAATTATAGCTCCAAGGGGCTGAGTTATTCTAGTTTTGTACTGTGTATTATCTAACCCACTTCAGTCCTCATACTGGTGAAAACTATAGGAGTTTGAGGGCACATCTGAGGCAGGAGTTAAGAACATTTCTGATTTAAAGTGTGTAGAGCAGAAGAAAACATCACATTAAATGTTGTGGAAATGTCCTACATACTTTTAATAACTCCACCAAATATAGAATTAACAAATGTACAACTTTATATGCATTTAGATATGCTGTTTGTTTTTTAAATCTCAGAGTAGGTCAGATATCTTTTCTGAAACAAACAATGATAGATCGTTCCTGCTGCATGGGTCTTCTCTAGTCTCCATTCTGACAGTATCTTCACAATTCACTGGTTCACTTCAATCACTCTGTAGAGCAGTGGTTCCCAGTCCCGGGCCTGGTGACCCACACGCCAGCTGGTTTGTGTTCCAGCCGAGCCCTCAGTTACACAAACAAACACAATCCAAAACCTTCATGCCATAAGAACAAAAACTGGTTGTGCCCAGCTCTTAAACAGGTTGCAGCTTAACCATTGTGTTTTATAAGTGAAATGAAAACCCCCTGACTTGTGACTAGAAACCAAAACGCAAATATTCAGTTGAAGCAACTTCTTAGATCCAGTGAGGCTTCAGTGATCTGATGAAGGAGGGAGGGAATGAAAACCGGCAGGTGTGAGTGGTACCAGGTCCAGCATCTTGATGCCAGGCTGATCAGATACATGAGCCATTCCCAAAGGCCCAGCTTGCAATAAAATATGGATGTCACCGCAAGTTTTCCAACTCAATACTGAGCCGTCCCAAGCTGTGTATTTGAGAAACCGATTCTACAGAGATCTCTTGTTTCAATGTTGCAGCGTGAAATTTTGGGTACTTTTTTCAGTGTATATGTCCTCCCATTGGGAAGGTTGTGCTCACAAAACTAACTGCAAACTTTTGTTGTGCGTAAATCAAGCAGTGAATTGAGTGGCAGCTCAGGGAATGTATAAGGGCGCCCAAGGTGGTATGGCTCTTTTGTACTTGATGATGTGTGTGTGGGAGATAAAAATCTGACTGTGCGTCAACACTGTTGGTTACTTGATGTTTGCCTACTCACCTTTTGCCCTTCAGAAAGTGTATAAAAGTCCAGCTCAACAAATAAAATAACCCCTGTGGGTTCAGTTTAGCATCTAGCGCAATTCCTCTCCCTTGGACTTGTGAAACGTAATTTTTTTATTAAAAATGGCAACTTTGAAAGAAAAGCGGACCTGTGGCCAGCGATGTGAAGATTTTGGGCACTTCATCTGGAATTCGGAGAACAAGACTTTCATGGGCAGGACACCGCTGAGATGGGGTACGTCTGTGTGTCTGCTTGGGCCTCAGGGGCACGACCTTCCATTTGCCTCAGCATTTGGAAACTTTGAAGCTCTCCTTATCTGGACCTCTGTAGAAAAACCTTTTTCAGTGTATTTAAGCAATATTTTCATCATGCTTATAATGAATTTTGCTGCTCGATAAAATTCCCTGAATTGTTCATTCCATACAGACAGGTGAAATTGACCATTTAAGGTTCTTTCAGATATTGCACAGAGATTTTGTGTTACTGCTGTAACTTACAGTGTCACTTACACTTAGCTGTCATTTCACAACTAAAGCCATCAATTAGAGCTTCTTATAGCTGTTTCCTCAGGAAATATCAATCATTTCTGTAAAAATAATATTTAGTCTAACACTAAAACAGACTACAGATAGTTATTATGAGGATTGAATTAATAAAATCTAACAACTATATACTCAAAATCTAAAAATATTTCTGTACTGCTTCACAATTTTATATTTTTTAGTTCACTTTGTGATGCAATATTAGGATGATGATGATGTTTGGTGAAAATCATATAGCAGGCGATTGCAGTTATTGTCTTCAATGTTTCAGATGAGCTAATAAATGCAACCATAACTATTGTGGTCAGTTCCTGTCAGAAATTCTCCAATGTGGTTTTTGTTCAGATTATCCCTGGCTCACGGGAGCAACATAGTAGAGTGGACAGGTTTCTGAACTCATGACTGGTGGGCTGTGGGTTCATGTCCCTGCTGTGGTACCTGGAGAGAGGTACTTCACCTCCAGTCCAGCTGTATAAGTGGGGACCAGCACTGCTAGGGCTTGGACTGCTTGTGATGGATTGGTGTCCCATTTGGGGAAGGAGCCATGCGCTCTCTGTTTGCTTAACAGAGAGAATCCTAGACATCAGGACAAGCTCTGCACTGTAGGACCACTGGGGCCCAGAAGGCTCATTTAATACTTGCTGTGTATTGGGGTTCATGTAATCAGTCCCATATTCATATTCTTCTCTCACATGATAGTTTACAAAATTAAAAGCTGAGGGAAATGGCAATTATATTCAACATGGAGGTAGGTTAGTCGGTGGCTTTACTGTTTACATTACATTTACATCAGTATGTAAATCTAGTTATGTAAAATCTGACTTACAAAATGATTTGTGGGACACTATTGTGACTAGGCATTTCTGGATGATTTTCCCTTGCGCTGCACTCAATCACTGTATAAACCACCTCAAAACCATTATACTATACCTAACCAACATATCTCGTTACTGTTAGAAATAACAAGGCAGATTGTTGATGTATGTCATTTCATTCAAAGTTCAGTTGCAGCCATTATACCATTTTGCTCTTTGCACTCTTTAATGATCCGTTTGTATAGTTTTTACACAGGATGTCACAGAAAAACAATGCACTAACATTTCGAAGTCCATGAGGGCATTTTGTAGGAGATACTAAAAATCCCATTTTACCACCTTACCAAATAACCTAGCACTTGGAATACCTTGTAAAGAGACTAGACACTGCTGGGTATGAGGTCAAAAAAAGAAGTGGATCCTAAATATACTCTTTTTTCAACTGTAATTGGCTGAGCTGTAGCCCATACCGTGAAAAACAGAGCTCCCATTCCATTCTGGTTATTTTTCAAGAACACTTGAAAGCTGAAGCACGAGTAAATGTGTGGCCGTAATGACCTTACAGTGCCCTTCCTTTCCCAAGAACCTGCCGCTATCTCTTT